GGTTCACTTTGATACTAATCATCTACCTGGCTCTCACTTCCTTTTATTTTTATTCATGTTATTTAACAGGAGGAAAACAAACAGAGGTTTAATAATATATATACCTTCTGTATACATGGGAGATACTTAGGAGAACTGAGTAACTCCCCCTCATCTCGTTTTCTTTTTAATTTTTTAACAGGTCTTTATTTTTGAGAGAGAGGGAGAGACAGAGCACGAGCAGAGGAGGGGCAGAGAGAGAGGGAGACACAGGATCCCAAGCAGGCTCCAGGCTCTGAGCTGTCAGCACAGAGCCTGAGGCGGGGGCTCGAACCCATGAACCACGAGCTCATGACCTGAGCCAAAGTCGAATGCTCAACTGAATGAGCCACTCAGGTGTTCTTCGCCTCTTTTTAATATGAAAAATTAGGTAGGGAGGCTACTAAGTTAGAGAAGCTTCTGCTTATGGTTGAGCCTGGGCTGGGAATATGCTTCATCTCTGAATTTTTGAGGTTACACCAGGAGAAAACTTAACAAGGCACATAGGAGATGTTTCTCATCTGTAAAATGATGGATCAGGCTAATTGTCCTCTAAGATGGGGATACCAGGTATGCGGTGGTGCCTCTTGTGACATAGAAGCATCAGCCACTACAAAATCAACAGATAAAAAAAGAAGTTGTGCAGAAAAAATCACAGGCATATTGAATTTGAGGTGTCTATGGGCTATCCAGGTGGAGATAGTCTGGAGGCAGACAGACAGGGATCCCCTGCTCCAAACAGAGGTTTGAGATAGAAAACTAATATTGGAATCATGCCTAATAGTAATAAGAGCTTGGGACTAAAGAATAAAGCCCAGGGAAGGCGTGGGGACAGAACCATTGGGCACGGTAGCATTAAATGTTAGGTGAAGGAAAGAAAATCAGTAGAGACAGAAGAAACTGCTAAAAAAATTTTTTAAAAAACACCAGAAAAGAACAATGTCACAAAGTGAAAGTAGAAGAGAGAGAAATGGTTACGAGAGAGGCTTCTGTGTCAGAGAGTCAGCAAGAAGACTGAGGAGGGTCCGCTGGACTTGCCAGCCAGGGGGTCATCTTCCTCTTCTACCCAGTATGGCAGGTATAGTAAGGTTTGGTAGCATGGACTTTGAAGCTACAGGCACTTGTGCTGGGGCCTCGGCTCCATCAGCTGTGAACTTGAACTAGGTATAGAAGCTTGCTGAGCCGGAGAATCCTCATGGACCAAGGGAAAATTCTGCATTTATGTCTTATTCTCAAGGTAATCCATGGAATGAATGAATCAGCGCATGTAAAGCTTTTATTACAGTGCGTGATACTGTGTTTATAAAGCAGATTCTCAATAAATGTTGGGTTTCTTCCTCAAACCAGGATCTCGACCAACACTTGTCTTTGAAATTCGGGAGCTAGTTTCAACTCCTTCCCTTCATCTTCCATGTCTAAAAATCAGGTACTTTTGTTTTATCTCTTTTAGCAGCTCGCCTCACATCCTTATTCTCACAGCCACCAACCCTTCAGATTTTCACTACTCCACGCCTGCATTGGCATAATAGGCTACTGACGATTTTTTTTGTGTGCATTTGGTTTGTTAGGCTGTTTCATGATTTTATTTCATGTAGACTAGAATCTAAGAGTGTTGCATTTCTTTGCTCCCTTTTTTAATGCTTAGGTATATCCTGGAAACATTTCAAATACTTGATAAATATTTATTAAAATGAAATAAAACTTTAGGGCACCCGAGTGGCTCATTCAGTTGAGTGTCCGACTTCAGCTCAGGTCACGATCTCGCAGTTCAGGAGTTCGAGCCCCACATCGGGCTCTGTGCTGTCAGTGCAATGCCTGCTTCAGATCCTCTGTCCTTCTCTCTCTGCCCCTCCTCCACTTGCGCTCTCTCAAAAATAACTCAAACATTAAAAAACAATAAAATGAAATCAAAATTCTGAAACAGCCAACAGCAACTTAATAATTCTTTAATGGTGGCTGGTTCACAAATACTGTTGCTAATAAATAAAGGACTTTTTAAAGTTAATAAATAATGCAGGAGCGTGGTATTAGTATTAGAGGTACACAAAGAAAGAATTAATCTTTCTGATGCAGAGGAGAAATGAAACCACTAAGGCATGTGGATTCTAGCACAGGTATAATACGAAGGGTGCCCAACCAAGGTTCAGGAGCTTGGCATTCAACCTATACCAGCTCTGCACAGCTGTGTTATGGTCCATAGTGGGCTGCCACATTTTAATGAATACATATCATTTACTTGTCCTGTGGCTGAAGACGTATTTCCTATGATGTCCACTGGACAGAACTTGGGTTCAAAGATTTAAAGTGAAATGAGATAGTTGCAAGTAAGAGGCAGCAGATAAAACTTAAAACCATAATTTCATGGGTGCCTGGGTAGCTCAGTCAGTTGAGCATCTGACTCTTGATTTTGGCCCAGGTCATGATGTCATGGTTCTCAAGTTCAAGCCCCGCGTTGGGCTCTGCGCTAGCAGTGAAGAGCTGGCTTGGGATTCTCTCTCTTCCTCTCTCTCTGCCCTTCCTCTACTTGTGCTCTCTATCTCTTTGTCCCTCAAAATAAATTTAAAAAAACCCAGAGTTCCTGTCTAACAGAACACACGAGAATAATACACATCCAGAATGGAGCATGTCCTCTGGACACTGGGCAGCAACACCATTTGCCGGGGGGATAGAGTGATCATTTTAGGAAGGTTTTTTCTTTTCCTTTGTTGTTGTTGTTCCTTATTTTTTAATGGGAATTTTGCATTTTCAGTTCTATTATTTTTTTAATTTTTTTTAAGTTTATTTATTTATTTTGAGAGAGACAGAGAGAGAGCACAAGCAGGGGAGGGGTAGAGAGGGGGACAGATGATCCAAAGCAGGCTCTGTGCTGACAGCAGAAAGCTTGATGTGGGGTTTGAACTCCTGGGCTAAGAGATTATGACCTGAGCTGATATCAGACGCTTAACTGACTGAGCCACCCAGGCGCCCCAGGAATTGCATTTTTAAATAGGCAAGTCACCCCAAACTCTAGTATAATAAAATGGGGCAAGAACACACAAAAAAGAAAAGGCCAAGTACCCCAGCTGTAGGCAATGCAGTATGGCCAGGGGGTGGGGGTGGGGGTAGGGAGGTGGAGAGACGGGAAGTGGGGAGGTGGGGGAAGAATATGGTCTGAACCAAACGGAAGGGCCTCCATCGAATCCATCACCACGCACCCTTATGAACTAGGGCAAGTGACCTAATGTCTGCGACCTTCAAGTTTCTCATTTGCGAAGGAAGTCTACTAATTCCTTCCTGGTAACGTTAGAGAAAGTTAAGCTCAACAATACGTAAAGCACTTAGACCGGGCTCAGCAAATCACCAAGGCTTAGAAACATCTGCATGATCATCTAACCTCTACTCTGGCCAATCACATCTCTGCCTTCCCTCACGGAACCAGGATGGAGGGATGCACGTGATCTCTAAGGTCTGCTGGGCCCTCAAGTTCCATTAGTTTTCTTCCACCAACCATAACCAACACGCAGCCAAAGCGTGTTTTAAAAGGGTCAGACGAAGGAAGCATAGTCCCATCTGGGGTACGCTTTATGACGGGCTGGGGGGACTGTGGCCGCCTTTCCATCCAGTCCATTCGATTACAGTCAGGCTAGAAAAGTCTCATGGAAACTCTGAGTGGGCTTGCCAGTCAGAGTGGGACGTGAGACACAATCATTGATCCCAGTGAAGTCATCACCTTAGGAAATGCTAACTCTTTGCTTCATTTAAATAAACAGGCCAAGCATGAGTCTGATGCACTAGAGATAATGGATGATGCAGTGGTTAAGAAGAACGAGAAGGAAGGGCGGGGGTTGCTGGGTTGGGAACTGAGCGACCTGAGGGTGGAAAGCCTTACCTGGCTCATGATAGGAGCACCACTTCCTGGTAAAGTCTCCCGTAAAGAGATACTTGGTAGATGCAAAATCCTTGGTAGAAACCCATTTTTAATTTCAGGGGTAGGCTTGAGCTTTACCTTCCCAGGTGTATTCCTCTCTGTATAAACATGGGAGGCCAAGATGCCCTGTCCCCCCCTTCCCGAACACGGGCTCACAACTACACATCACCTGTCTGGGAGCTCGGGCCTGCATCACTGCAAACCCTGACGACCACCAGCAGCTCTGGATGGTACGCGCCTGCAGCATCCCTCCCCACCTGATGCGGGGCCCGGCACACAGCAGGACTCAGTGAGTGCGCAGCCGGATTGCTCACCCCCGGCCCGCAGTGTCTGGCCTGGGGCTCCAGGGAGCAGTGAGAGGGTGGGAGAGCAGTGGGCCCCCGAGGCCCACTTCCACCTTAGCACACGTGCTTCTATCCATTCTACAGGAATGATTTCATTTGGAAAAGCATGGACGTGAGAAGGAAATGATGGTGAAAAACAACAGGGGCTTAACTGTCACGTGTTAAAGAGGAAGTTGAGGCCAAGAGAGGTTGTGGGAGACTCGTTCAAAGTCACGTTGTACGTAAAGCATCAACGCAGGGACGAGACCCTGCATCTCCACCCACAACCCTGCCCACGACATACAGCGCCCCATGCTGTCACTTCCACCACCCCGTGCTCTAGAAACTTCTCCATGACTCTAGTCAGCTCCAGTGGGCAGTCTGCTGTCTCCACTAGGGACTCCAGCAGACTTTGGGGGATCAAAGCAGCTCCTTTATGGGGCTCCTGGGTGGTTCTGTCGGTTAAACACCCAACGTCAGCTCAGGTCATGGTCTCACGGTTTGTGGGTTCGAGCCCCGTGTTGGGCTCTGTGCTGACAGCTGAGAGCCTGGAGCTGCTTCAGATTCTGTGTTTGCCTCTCTCTCTGCTCCTCCCCTGCCCGTGCTCTCTCTCAAAAAGAAATAAACATACATATTTTTAAAATAGAAAAAAGCAGCTGCTTTAAATCAATTCTGATGGTTTTGACACGCTTCTTAGGAGCTTTTCAGAAACCTTCCAAAAGTCCTCTAATGGACTGGGGCTTGATACTCACCTTGCCTCAGCCAAACTCTACTCTTCCATACCCTCTCTGACACGTTGCATTTATAATTGTCTCTGATGAGACAATTCTGATGAGAACAGAAGAGTTCAACTCATGCTGGCAAAGGACCACAGCCCGCTCTCTAAAACTGTGCCAGGTGCCGGCACCGTAACAGAGGGAGCCTCCGGGGTGGGTGGGGAAACAGTAAGACACATGAATACTAGGCTTTGCCTCTCCTGGGGTGATTCAGTGGTGTCATAGATGGCACCTGGGAAACAGCATTTACCCAGTGCCTTGGTTTCCCCAAAGATCATAATGTATGTTCTGGGGAAACTGTTTTACTTATTAAGAAGTCTGGGAAACCATGAATACTACCCCCACCTTGGAAATTTACCAGCGGAATGGCATAATGGTGCTGAGAAAGCCAGGCTGTTTTAATTTTGTTTACTCGAAACTTCTTTTTGATGGTAGAACTGTAGTTTTGCTCTATACCTGTGAAAATCCTGCTGAAGTGGTACTCTGTGGAACACACTTTGGGAAGCACAGTACCACAAACACTGATGCAGTCTGCATCACGGTGATTTATCTGAATTGCTAAATGGAGACTCTCTGATTCTTGAGAAAAGTTAGGACCGGCAAAAATAAAACACTGTCGGCATGCAATAAGGCCTGCTTAGTGAACGTGTACCACTCTTCTACAGAGAGTCATTGTTAGAAACAAAAATGCAAGAAAGAAGGAAAGAAAGAAAGGAAGAAAGAAAGAAAAGAAAGGGAAGGGGAAGGAAGGGACAGAAAGGAAAGGAAAGGAAAGGAAAGGAAAGGAAAGGAAAGGAAAGGAGGAAGAGAAAGAAAAAGAGAGAGGAGGAAGGAAGGAAGAGAAAGACAGACAGGAAGGAAGGAAGGAAGGAAAAGGAAGGAAGAAGAAGAAAGTATGGAATGAAGGAAGAGAGAGGGAGGGAGGGAGGAAGGAAGGAAGAAGAAGGAAGAAAAAGAAAGAGAGAAGTAACATTGCCTTAAGTACTTTAAATACTCCTCACTAAGTCTAATTTGCACTCAGTCTTTCTGCCTCCCCTTCCCTGTGCTATTTCCATAACATTACATGGTTGCATTTACCAAGTTTCTGTATTGCTACATGCACTTCACTTCTTCATGTTCTACAGCCACAGACTGGACCCACAGCCCCTAACCGTATGTCTTATAATAATGTATCCTGGTCGCCATGGAAACTCCATGAGAGGGTATAGATGGATCCGCAGAAAGGAATACCCACATACAAGAATAAGAAAGACAAAACACCCTAAGCCTGTGTCATGATGAATGGTGGATCAGGTGCATATTTTTTGATTAAAGGACAGCGTTACTACACCAAGCAGGTTAAATGAAATTGAAGACGACGACCAAGGTATCACATAGGATACTGACATGTAAGAAGACCCCAAATCTTATCCTAAATACCACAGCAAAATGGATGTAAGCAGGGGCGGGACAGTCTGTTTCCTGTCACGCATGATTTATTCATCTTTTACTCTCTTCATCACTTTTCCGCTGATAGTCCCTAACTTCCACAGTACTGCTTTTATATCATGACACTGAGGGGAGATGAGGCGGTGTCACTGACCAACGGGACCAGGAATCGAACGGTGCCCACATGGCTTTGCTCTCAGGACTCGAAAGATACCTCATCAGTTTACACAGGCCATTCTGAATCCAGCTTCCTTGAGAAAATCACTTGACCTCTCTGGGCTCCTTTTTTTCACCTACAAAACAAAGATACGGATACGGGTCTGTCTGGCAGAGTTAATACGTATACCAACATATCTGTCATACAGCTGTCTTGGGCAGATTGAAAACTGGGGAAATACTAAATTTTAGTACTACAATTCTACTGACCTCTGCAGAAATGAGACCAAGTTAGCACAAAGAAATATACTCAAGGCAGACCAAGACGACTCAAGTAGCGTATCAATTTCAATGAGATGCAGGTGATATTCTTCTGAAAAGATAAAGTACTTCTGAAGTGTACGGTATTAAACCATCTCCCGATCAAAAGATTTGTGATGATTAATCTCAGCACAGAAAAGAAAGAAAAAAACACAGAAAAAGAGTCTAAGAGACTGACCTTAGGAATGGATGGTGACGAGAATCGGGGGCAGGCCAGAAGAGATAACTAGAAAGTGAATCCTCTCTTTAGCTTTTGTCCTTACCGCAGGCTCTAGCAGTTCTGATAGTCTGACCCGGAATTTCTACCCTAATTTACTGTATTTTTAAAAAAGTCTTTTAATGCTTATTTATTTTTGAGATAGTGAGAGAGAACGAGAGCATGAGCAGGGGAGGGACAGAGAAAGAGGGAGACACAGAATCTGAAGAAGGTTCCAGGATCTGAGCTGTCCGCACAGTCTGACGCGGGACTAGAACTCACGAATGGTGAGATCATGACCTGAGCCGCAGTCAGACACCTAAACGACTGAGCCACCCATGTGCCCCTATCCTAATATTCTTACCATGTGCACAAAGTGTGAAGAGGTAAGGGTTAATGGAAGACATCAGTGATTGCCAGGAGTTCAATTCAGTATGTGTTTCACAAGTAACCATCACATGCAAGACACTGTGTTGGGTGCTCGGAGGAGGCACAAAAAGAGAATGTTCTTACTCAACAATTCCCTGACAAAGGTTGTCCCCTGAGAACTTACGTACTCCATGCACCAGCCCCTCCGAAGGGCTTACCTCTTGGCAAGGAGATGTCCACAGTTTCACAACTGTCATACAAGTGAGAATATTACATGTGCTTTCAGAACATTAAGGCAGGTTAGAAGGAGAAACCCATCCAAAGAATTCATCAGCACAGTCTTCATGAGGTACTATGTCCACATTGAGCTTGTGGGCATAATTTTCACTAACAGGGGTGAGAAAGGGCTTAAGCTGAGGTCCAGAAGCGAGAAGACATAAGCCCAGCGGGAGATAAATATCAGGTTCAAATAAAGCAGTTTCGCATGAGGCAGAACACAATCGGCCCCTCCTGCAGATGGCCGGGGAGCGTGTCATGGAATGGTGGGAACGGGGGACACTGAAGGATTTTGTGAGGTGGACTGGAGCAGAGACAAGCAAGAGACTGGTTGGAGACACTAAGGCAGAAGGAAGACTAGTAAGAAGAAGAATCCGGTAGTAAGCAGAGCAGTGAGAAGAGTAACAAAGGAGTGAGAGTGACTTTTCTCTCAGCCCACAGTCCCCTAAGCTCTGAAATCAGCCTTCCGCCATCAGTTTATGGAGACTGTAAAATCTACTTGCCTCCTCTTTCTCTCCACCTTCCTGGAGGCTCCATTCGGAATTTATGAATGATTTTAATAATGGACATTTGTTCGTGCTTACCACGTATATACAATGTATTAACACGGACTCTACAGCAGCCACACCCGCTTTTGGAAACGCTCTCTCATCTTTTGGGACATCGTCCTCTCCGGGGTCTCCTGATAGTGCCCCAGTTGCTGCCTCCTGATTCCACTTCTTTTTTTTTTTTTTTAATGTTTTTATTTCTGAGAGAGAGAGACAGCATGAGCAGGGGAGGGGCAGAGAGATAGGGAGACGCAGAATCTAAAGCAGCTCCAGGCTCCGAGCTGTCAGCACAGAGCCCAACATGGGGCTCGAACCCACGAACCGTGAGATCATGACCTGAGACGAAGTCGGACACTCAACCGACGGAGCCCCCCAGGCGCCCCTCCTGATTCCACTTCTGTCCACACCATTAGAGACCCTCAGGATAGCAGCCCTTTCACGCTGTATTGGATTCTCAGGTGGGGGCTTGGCTTTTGGAAACCACGCGTGTCATCCAAAGATGCAGAGAAGGCACGTCTTTCTGGTTGAGAACCACTGGTCCTCTCTCATTTTTGACAAGTTTAAGTAGATTCTTTTCTTTTCTCTTCCTGCCTCTCCCCTCCCCTCCCGGCCTCCTCTCTCCCTTCTTCTCCTTCCTAACCCCACTCTTGCAGTTTTCTCATCACCAAACTCCCAGCTTCAACTCGCATCACAAACAGCATCTTGTGCCTTGTTTCCTCCGTCCCTCCCTTCTTCCCATTGTATCTATTTATTATCATCTGTCATCTTTCCTTTTGTTACCTCTTCCCACTGCAGTAATGTAACACCCACGTCAGCATGCGTTTTATGTGGGGGTTTTTTCCTTGAAGCGCCATGCACAGAGTATGTCCACAATTCATTTAGATTGAGCTAAACAGGGGCACCTGGGTGGCTCAGTCCATTAAGCATCTGACTTTGGCTCATCATGACCTCACAGTTTGTGGGTTCAAGCCCCACATTGGGCTCTGTGCTGACAGTTTGAAGCCTGCAGCCTGCTTCAGATTCTATGTCCCCCTCTTTCTCTGCCCCACCCTACTCATTCTCTCTCTCTCTCTCTCTCAAAAATAAACATTAAAAAAATTTTAGATTGAGCTAAATATGCTCATGTGTTTACCAAATAGAAAGGCACATCCGTTTGAACCCTTAAAGAAGACTGTATTGAAATTAAAAATGATGGGCAAGGCTATAAAAGTCTAAGTCTCTGGACAATAACTTCTGAGTGAGTTCATTAGATTCAGGCGCTCCACAGAGCTCAGATTTGGGGGAGCTTTCAGTCCAGTTGCACTCTGTGGATGAGCACTGAAGACCGGATTGGGGTAGAAACAGAGAAAGAAAAAGCGGCTGTGACATCTTTGAGTAATTATTAAGTGCCAGTGAGAGAAGAGGAAGCGTGGGGACGAAAGGCACAGCCCAGGGACACGGTCAGTGGTACTGCAAGCGCGGGATGGTAGCTATGCTTTGGCGAGCACAGAATAACCTACAGAAGTTGCCAAGTCACTGTGTCATACACCTGAAATGAATGTAACATTGTGTGTCAACTGAACTTCAAACAAACCAGCCAATAAAATGAGAAAGAAAAACAAGATCGGAGGAAGCCTACAGGAACCGAATCCTGTAAAAGCACTAGCAGAGGGCATCCAACCTCCCCGATAGGACCCCAGTCATGCCTAGAAACTGGGCAAAATCCGTGAAACTTGAGGACTACTGTTTATCACTATATCCGTGGTCCTGCCAAATGGTGTATTTCACAACTATTCATCCAATGCCGGAGTGAATGAGAAACACTTATAAAAAGAGCTAACAATTACTGGGGTGCCTGGGGGG